AAAAACTCCCTTTTAACAGAAGGAAAACTCCAGCAGCACCAGGCTCAGTGTGAGCGGCCATCTGCTGAGGCCGAGATTCCTGCACAGTGGAAGCTTTTAGATCTACATCAAGCGGACTGTGGTGAAGAGTTTTTTACTTTTTGCATCTTAAAGAGTTTTTGTTGAACTTATAATCCTGAATGATGTCTAAGCTGTTTTCTAAACAACCAAACCAGTTTCCTTTCACCTGAGGGGGGTGCGGTTTGAATCAGGTGTGTCAAGTCAATGATCCAAAACACACAGCAAAGCTGGTTTCATAATGTATGAAACAGGCTTATATTAGGGTTCTACAATAACCAAGACAGCGAGCCAGTGAGGAAAAGCATTCTAAGAGAAGTCAAGAAAGGCCTAAGAAAAAAAAAAGAAAAAAAATATATATATTTGACTATTAAATATATATATTTGATTCCAAAATCAGAAATGTAACATTTCAGCTAAGCACTGTGTCCCTCTCTGCAGTCAGAATGAGGTCAGATGTTTGTTGACGGCAACAAAAACTTTCTACTAATAGGCAACATGCCAAGACACATTTATTTAAATATTTCTGGAGGTGTGTGTACATACCTGGACGTTTACATTTCATTTTCACCCTTTAAATCCACAATAGTTCCTGTTGGGTTTTAAAAAAAATCATAGCTGTATGCTCTATAATTCTCCTAAAGTTCAAATAAATAATTAAAAGCCCAAATTGAACCTTGCATCCTTGGGAAGCTGCTACCACAACTTCATTAAATATTAAACTGCCCTGATAACCCTGTTGGATTTACTGCACATGCCGAGCATTACTGTTATAAACAGGAAAGGGAAGTAAATAGTGAATCTGAGACCGCTGGACGAATGCTTCTACCAGGAAGCAAACTGAAAACTGCAGAGGCCTTATCATCAAAGTAAAATCAAAGGGTAAAGTCGCCACTGTCACCTGCCAGGCGGTCAGACAGGAGGTGCACATCAGGTGTCTGCAGGGCTCGATCTTTACATCCTTGTCGTTTTCTGCGCAGATCTTGCAAAGCTGGAACGTGGATCCCATCTCACAGTACAGCTCGTACTGCTCCTGCAGGGACAACGCAACAATCATTCAGTTCAGTGACATCCTTTCAACGCATTTACATCAGATCAAGACTTTCAGGACTTATGTTTGCAGCACAACGTGTTAAAGCTGCCGCATTTATCTCAACAAGCTGCTTAAATGCAGTAAAGTTTGTAGATGAGAAACAAAACAAACCTGAGTAACTTTGATGTGATCCTGAGGAGAAGGCTCACACAGCCCTGTCAGGTCTGGGTTTTGTGCACGGCCATCTGGAAAAAGGTAGCTAAAAAGCCCCAATACATGCGTAAATAAACAAAAAAAAAAAAGGTTGGGATTAAAATTCTCTATCTAGATTCAGTGAACCTCAACCATCTAAACCTTTTTTTTCTTAATTTGCGTGAAATAAAGCTCCAGGTAAAACGCAGTGATGGCCACACAGTGGCAGCCCACTGCGCCCCAAAGGGATGGGCTAAATGCAGAGGTCAATTTCTCCAGTGTGAGATCAATAAAGTTCAATTATTACCGTTTTTTCACGACTATAAGGCGCATATAAACATCTTTTTTTTCCCTCAAAATGTGCGGCGCGCCCTATGTGTGTTGTTACTGCAGACGTTGAGACCGCCATGAGAACGTTAAAGGGGGAAGTTTGGGCGTGGATTGTGTATAAAAGAACAGGTATGTGCTTTATGCAGAACATTGTTGTCATAACAACCCTGAAAATGGCAAAGAGACATGCCTATGAGTGCAATTTTTCCATCCGGACCAGGACTACAGTAGCTCAGCAACGTCCGGCTGATTATATTGAAAAGCTGGCGAGCTTCCACTCCTACTGCAGCAAACACATCGCCGACAGACGCATCCAGCCAAGCCACATAACCAACACGGACGAGGTGCTGCTCACTTTCGACATCCCGGTGAATCACACTGGGAGAAGAAGGGGACCAGGACGGTAGCGATACACACAACGGGGTATGAAAAGCAACGCATCACCATCGCTGTTAATCTGTGACTCCATGCATGCCCATCTCACAGCCAATGTGAAAAACATGGAGAAACAAATGAACGCTGTGCTTGCTGTTATTCCGGGCGGTCTGACAAAGGAACTTCAACCGCTCGATATCGGTGTGAACCGGCCGTTCAAAGTAAGGCTGCGAGCGGCATGGGAGCGATGGATGACCGACGGAGACCACAGTTTCAGGATAATTGGAAGGCAGCGCCGGGCAAGTTACGCCACCGTTTGCGGATGGATTGTAGATGCTTGGACTAACGTGTCTGCTGGCACTGTTCTTCAAGCTTTTGCATAAGCCGGCATTATTTCTGAGGAGCTGCGCTAAATCAGACATGCCAGTTTCCCCATCTGCGCTGTCAGAGTCACTTTCCGTGCAGC